TTATAAACAGTACATTTGTACCAGCCCACTGAAGGACAAGCCCGTTCAGTGGTTTGTCAGCTGCAGCTTTTTTCTCTATCTCCAACATCTGTAAAACATCTGCTTTTTAATTTCCAATTGTCTCTAACTGTACGAGGCTTTAGCATTTAAATAAAATACAGAAAACTAATGCTGACTGTATAGAAAATATTTTTTAACTAAATGACTTTTTTAAAACATAAATTACCAGAGATGAAATATGACATTTTTATCACTAAATTATTATGAACCATTTTTAATCTTTTACTTGGGACAGAACAGCCACAAAGGTTGGATTTTAGGCCTTTTACTTCATTTCTGGTTGGAGCTGAGCTAAGGGATCTCTGTCTTTTTGACAGACCACAAAAATACCACAGACTGGTTATGGACAAATCAAGTGTGTGATCATGTATGAGTTGTATAGTTTTAATGTTTTATTTGGGAACAGAATGGTGTGTATGTGTAAGTTTGGTGATGGAGTTTTTATTATGAATGAATGATGAATTTTTATTAATTATTATGTCTATTTTTTATGCTTAAGGACAACAGATGGAAATTAGCCCTTGGCTATAATCTGGTATGTTTACATTCATGTAATTTTTTTTACATTTATGTTCATTAACATGCACTGTCCTAAATAAATAAATAAAATAAAAATAGATGTTTGTCTGCATGTTAGAAATCATGTCATGATTGGCTCTGAATTTTTAGCTTTATCTCATAAAGTTGAAATTTTAAGCAGATTTATCTGTCAATGAGAATGCCATCACATGACAACTGACTGCAGATGCTCTGACACAGGTTTGAACAATTCAGAGCCAATGAGCAGAGTATTATAATTTCATTGGTTTAATTGAATCTCCTTTCTCTCTCCCTGTGATTGGCTGTTAGTTGGTGTGTGGCATCCATCAGCAGTGGATGTCATCCATGTTTCCATGGAGCGCGTCCAGGATTACTGCATAGATGGGATAAACTGACTAGAGGATGTGTGACAGCTGTGCCACAATCTGCCTTTACAGTGAACATTATAAAACTCTAAGGTTCTTCTGCACTCTCATTAGCCACCTCATTTATAAGCTTATGAACAGGTCATTTGTTTGCATGTGATGATCTTATTATTTTCCAAAGTGAAGTCACAGGTAGTTTTGAGTTGATCCCTCGCTCAGAAATCTGTGGTTATTATCAGGTATGACATATTTAAGTCTACTACCACATTGTTATTATCGTTTCTGGATTTTCTTTATGGTTCGTGACCAACATTTTATCTTCTGTAGGAGCAACAAATGATGGTGACACAATAAGAATTGTTATCCAAACCAACAACTCATCGCACACCTGGAGCCACTACTAACTTTTAGCCATCAAGGCACACGTTTGATAAAAATTTGCATCATTAGATGTTTTGTAACATGCAAACGACTTCAGTTCTGTTCATTCTCCATATGGCACACCTGTTTTTGACAGGTTAAATGAAGTGTCGCAGGCTGAGGAAACGAGATAAAAGCCATCGTTTGTGTAGGAGAAACAAACAAAAACACCGCAGACAAGTTTCAACTTCCTCAAGGTAGGCCTACTCAATCTATACGACCATATCTACAGTTTGCATCGTCACCTGTGTGAGAAATGTATTTTGGTTATGTTATGGTTATATTGGTTATATTATTTGATGTTGTCCCTCTGTCCGTCAATTATTCATTTTACACATGGCCTGGTATACAGTAGGTGATAAAATTTTACGACCTTTGCAGAGTGCTGAAAAACCCACCCATATGGAAAAGAAATAGTAAAAACATATATGATTTACTCATGAAAGTGGCAACTTTCTCATTACTTTCATATATTTTTTTAGTAAGTATACAAAACATACAAGTTTCATTATATAATTTTCAAGGGATCTTATATGTGTTTTCACTCTTGTATGCTTTTCATACAAGTTTCATACACGACAGATAAAAACTTTATAAGATTTATACATATCTTTTCCATATGGGCAGTGACTTTGAATTTAGATTAGATTAGATGAAACTTTATTAACCCCTTGGGTGGGTTCCTGCGGGAAATTCAGTTTCCAGCAGCACAGCAGCGACACAAGTTGGATGTTACAGATACAATTAAAAGGGGATGAGAGTAAGGCTAAGCATAAATATACCATAGATACACATATAAAAATACAGAATATATAATATGGATAAATATGAACACATAGATTGCACATTTGAGTGAGTCTATTGCGCAGTGATTATTGCATAGTCAAATATAAGAAAAAACATTGCACAGTGAAAAAAAGCACTACAGCTCAGTTGTTCCCACCCTCCTTTGTCCCCCTGTTTCCCCTCCCTCTCTCCTCCAATGAGGAGTTAAGTAATTTAAACCCAAAGGAAGTCCAGAGCTCTTCAGAATGGTGGCCTTAAATTCTTATTGGTTTGACTGGAGCAATGATTTCATTTTGGCTTTTTTTTCTCAGCACTGCAGTTAGCGTTAGCAAAAAGCAAACAAACACAGAACACTCCCAAAAATCTTTTAGGTGTAATCTTCCACAGTTGGCTAGACATTTACAGGAACGTCAGGAAACAAAACACTAATGCAACAAAACACTCAATGTAAAGAATTTACTCTTGGTAACACTCACATCTGGGCTCAAATTTTAAATAAATATTTTAAAAACATATCATAAATTATAAACATTATATTTGTGTAACAGAAATGATCCCAAATGTAACATTAAGCTTAATCCTACAAGTGTTCAGTAGGTTTGAGGTCAGGGCTGCAGGCAGGCACCCCATCCTGTCCACTACTAAATTCTGCAGGTAATCATTTATAAACTCCACTGTGTAGGGCAGGGGTGTCAAACTAAATTGCACAGGGGGCCAAACCTCAAGGCACACTTTAGGTCGCGGGCTAAACAAGATAAACATTTATTGAACACATTAAAACAATGCTTTTTAAACATAAATATGAATAAAAACAGACAGGAATATAATTCAAGAATAAATAAACTTTAAAAAAAACCTTTAACTTTAGATATTTTTCTCTCCACAAAAATATATCCTGTCAAAATATGAAATAGAAATATGAACATGCTGCAAAAAACCCCAGAAAAAATTAATTAAAACATATATAAAGTTCGATCCGCATGTAGACGGAGCTGGGCCATTGCTTCAGGAATGGAACTAATAAACTCTGCGGGTCATACTTTCCCTTGAGTGTCCCATTAGAATAGAATACTCCTTTAATTGTCCCACAAGGGGAAATTTGGTTGTAACAGCAGCCTAAAAGACACATATACAAACAAACAGTACACAGGACACAGAACAGAAACGTACACAATTTTTTAGCATGTTGCAGCTCCATCTGAATCTGCACAGGTGCAGTTTATCCGCCGGGCCAGATGTGGCTCTTCAACTCTTCCTCCTTCGCCACAGTTTTCCCCGCCCCAACATCCCACGACTCTTTCAATTCCTCCAACTCCACCATGTCTTTCTACGAATTATGCAGGGAATCAGTACCAACCTTTGCCATCTACACCATGTACACTTTTACAAACATCCTTGTCCTCTGTCCACTCTACATCTACATCCTCTACATAGGTTTCCAACATTGGAGGTGTCAGCACTCTGCATCTGCAGGAAGGTCGATGAGCCTCTCTGACTTTTTCACCTACAACATGATGATCTTGGAGATGTTTGGTGTGTTTGGATCAGTCCTCTTTTGTTTGAGCAAACCTACAAGTAATGACTCACTAATGATGTTGGGCATATATTTATTTTGCGTAGTTTTTCCTGGACAGACATTTTTCCATGTCCTGACCTGTATGGAGCGCTATCTGGCCGTTGTTCACCCCATTGCCTACATGCATGTGCGAGAAGTATCGAGGGTCAGAATTAAAAACATCTGCACCTTGTGTGTTTGGCTGATGTGTGGCGGTTGGGTGGGGATAGTAAAGCTGTACTACCCCAGTTTTCCCATGGTCCCGTTTCTTTCATTGGGCATCTGTCTGTTAGTTATTATTGCGTGCTGTGTGTTTGTTCTCTATGCTCTGACTCGTTCAGGGCCAGGACACATGGGTAAGAACAAGGATCGAGTTGACCAATCAAAGCAGAGGGCTTTCTATATGATTACAGCCATAACAGGAGTGATGCTGTTGAGGACTGCTGGCTTCCTGCTTTGTTTTGTAATAGAAACAAGGAAGTTAGCTGATCTCCAAGTGATGTGCTGGTTGCTGGATTTAGTCATCTGGCTGTCTCTCCCCAGCAGTCTGGTTCTTCCTCTGCTGTTTCTGCACAGAGCAGGAAAACTATCAGGCTGTAGGAAGAAAACAGAATCAGGATAAAGAGTCCATTAAGAAAGTTTGACTGATGTGTACAAAACAAAGTTATAATGGTAAAAATTGCCTGTATTTGTATAGTGCTTTACTAGTGCCTAAGGACCCCAACGCGCTTTACATATTCAGTCATCCACCCATTCACACACTGTATTTTAATGTATAAAATGCTTTGTAACTTATATACAATGTATACTAAGCAATCATAGGTTGTAGTTTATATAAAATATTTTGATGATACATATGTAGGTTGTAGGGCATCAGTGTCTGATGCTCAGGACATTTGTTTACCTATTTACATGTACATTCTTATGTATATTGATATGCCTCAGTTTTAAATGGATTTGTATTATACTAATGAGCAGTAAAAATTAACCAAAGATATCTATAAATAGGTAAACAAAGAGGGAATTCTGAGCTCCAAAACCCTGATATACTCTTAATCTAATTCAAATGTTTGTTTGTTTTTTTGTTATCAAGCTATAGTAGTTTATGACTTGCTATGGTACTATCCTAATTTTATTTTTTTCATTAACCTCAGTTCAAGTAAATTATTTGATATATTAATATAGGGACAAAGCCATATGATCCTGTATAAATGTGCTATAAACTGCTAAAAAAAACCTTTAATAAAATGACAACAATTAACAACACTGTATGTCACACATACTTTTCTTCAGTCTTTTTTAATCCACTCACACAACAGCATTTTCATGTTTGTATGACATAAGAGTCAGATTGTCGAGAGTTCTCAGAGCTCATTTGTATGAGGGTCGTAATGTCTCAGATCAGTCAATTTTCTGCTTAATCGTCCCTGAATTGCACAAAAACTATTTTTAAAATTAAATTTAGTTTTAAATCTCAAATACTATGGAAAAATGTTCCACCAACCCCCTTTTTAACCACACATTGTTAACTTGTTTTCTCTTCTTGCAGAATTAATAATTATTATGGGCCACTTTTGGTCTGAGACAACTTTAGTATTAGTGTTTAAAAAAATTAACAACATAGAAATAAACAACAGATACATTTTGAAGGAAAGATAAGTGTAAGTAGATTATGCTTTTTGTTAACAAGGAAAAGATTTGCCAAGTGGGACTCATGGTGAGTGAACATAAAGGTAAAATGTTGTGATTGTTTTGAACGGCATTACAAGTAAACATGCTGTTCTGGAGTTCAGTTTAGACTGCGTTTTCTGTTGTTTTGTGTTTAATTTCCCGATCTCCAGCAATAAAGTTGTGTGAGTTCTGAATCAGTCTCTATAGTACAGTCGTTCAACAACTCAAATGTCTAATTAGTCATTCAGTTAGTCAAGTTAGTCCATTAGCAATGGCAGAAACTATGTTCAACATGTTCAAGGTGATCTGGCGAAACTCCGGCCAACTGTGACCCAGATCGGATGTGAAAATATCGGATTTGATGCGCTTTCAAAAATATTTATCTTGAAAAAAATGTTAATATATGAAAATAAATTTCACAGCGCTCATTACAGATGTTTAAACTGTGGATCATGAAATGCTTATGCTAATTGGAGACGGTGAAGTAGAAAATGTTCTAAAAGATTAGCTGATTTGAGATGCGATCCCATAGACAGGATATCTGGAAGGTTTTAAAGTAAACAGCCAAAGATACAATGTTTAAGGCAGGGATTATACTTGCTTGTGGATATGTGGAAAGAAGTGGCCCTTCTTATCATATCTAGAGAAAGGATTTATGGATAATTGGTGAACCACGTCTAGTTGAGCCTTGTGTTCACCTTTTGAAGAAATGTATGTCACT